TGTGGTGGTGGGGGGGGGGGGGTAGAGAGAGAAGGATCCACACACGTTTAATATAAAGCAGACACTCGACCACTACGGCCGACATATTGGCTTGTTATGTCCTGCGCAACAGATGTTTAGCAGACGGAACACGCGTGTTGCAAACACATGAGGCACATTGACTAGCACATGGTGGAATACATTATTATGGTTAGAGCATTGAAAACATCTACAGATGTTACCTCCCTATTAAAGTATGTTCGGCCTCTTTGGGTTTAGACTCCAGTAGCCACACTGAAATGATTGTGCAGTTGGTTCCGGTATATATAATATATACATATATAGATAACAACACATGTTACAGTCTTGATAGTCATTTTTTCATTGACTTCTATACAATCGGACTTCATTTTGCAAACACATGTGTCGCACCCTGCTGGCCTGTAGAAAGAATTCAAGTTTAAGTGACTTCCTCATTGGCTTCACTTTTCAGACCCCAAGGTTTTTTTGTCAGAGCATCGGATTTTGTGATTGCTGTCGGGAGGTAGAGAATTTCCAAAAAATATCTTTGAAGAAGATTACCAAGCCCAGCTTTAATATTGACGCATTATTAGCAGAGGTCGCCTTGGTGGACACTTCCTATGCTTTTCCCTCCATCTCAGTTGGAGCTTCTCCTCCTGACTGACTGCCTATCACAGTTCAGTACACACACACACACACACACATTGAATGCTCATTAGAAATGATTCATCCTTCTGACACAAACACACACATGCCAAAGCACTGAAATGAAAATTGTGAAATCAAAGTATTTTAAATCCCTTTGGCACTCATGCACAATAACATGCACACACACACGAGCAGCAAAGCAACAGGATTGGATTTTAGTTCAATCAAAATTGCCCATTATTTACACACACACACACACACACACTGCTTGTTGACTTTGGCTGTCAAACTGCGAGCACTGTCTGTGCTCAGTCACTGATCTCTCCATCTCTTGAACAAATTTCTCCTCATCTTTAAATCAGGGCTTCGATCTCCCATCCTCTTCAGCCCTTTTTCTCCCTGTAGGCTTTCTCCCCCTCCTCTCTCCTCTCCTCCGCAGAGACATGTTGTTTTGTTCTTCACTGAGCAGCATATATACACATGCCATGAGACTGGCTACGGGCAGATCATCTGAAACGGCGAGATAACGTTGTGCAGGAAATAAGAGGCACGCTGGGGGAATTTCAAGAGTGCAAAGACCATCCGTATCATTTGGGTAGACGGTTCTGCCTGCAAACAGCATGGGGTGACGTGATGTTTGCCTGTTTGCTAGCAGTTAGTAAGCTAAAAACTAAACCAAACTGCGTTGAACATCGTCTCACGGTAGCACCATTACACCATCAATGACCTCAAGAATCATTTTACTTTGGCGGGAAAAGGCTTTGGTATAAAATGAGGTCGACGTTATTCCAAACAGTCGTAATCAACCCCCATCTTTATGCATTATATATGTATTATATACTGTATATTGGAACACCAAGAAGTGGGCATGCTTTGAATGTAGCACGCACCTTTATTGATGGATGGATGTCATGATAATATTGGTTGAAATTGGTACTAGCTTAGTCACTAGCTTAAGCACACTTCATATTTTTAATTGACAGAGAGAGAAGATGATTGGACTTTGATATAAAAATACAAAGACGTTTTTTTTGTAATGTTTGCATATATTGTTAAATAGGTGCACAATATGCAGCATGTGATCTAAAAATGTCATCTCTACTCTAAAAGCTCCCTGACGAATCAAACTGTAGAACCATTTCTTTGTTTCTTTATAGAAGTTTCTGACTGAAATGATTTGAACGCTAGCATGCCAGGGAGCGTTTAAATAAGGTGGAAACACAGCACAGTGTTCTGAAATCACTCGAAGTGAACACGCTTACTAATATATACATTTTAAAGCTGCTTCTCCCAAAAATACTCTCCTCAATCCCTCCCCCAAACTCATCCAACCCGTGGCCCTAAAAGCAACGAATAGACTGCACCAATTAAAAAAAATAAAACCTTTGCCACCAGAATAATTTGAAATCTGCTTTAAATTCGATAAAATTCGATAAAATTAAAATCGACACATAACGGCTTTAATCATTTGAATTATTAAGTTCTTTGTCGAGCTAATTGGGCATGGGTGTTCAGTTACGACACTTATTGAAACTGTTTTTTTAATTGTATTTGTTATCGTAGTAACCGTATTCCTCAGAAACTCAATTGTTCTTAGCATCATATGTGCATGTTCGGCTGCTTCGGGTTAGCAAAGGTATAAAGTACTTCCTGTCACTGTGTTACGTGTATGCTAACTCAGCACAGTCCAAGAAGATAAAGGTCTAAGGGATTGTATGTTTGACATAACATATAAAAACAGGGGAACGTGTTTGTATTCCTTGTTATTTTAGAATAACCGACTTCAGGCCATATTTTGACTTCCTGCTTTACTCGTGCTTGACTCACCGTCGCTGAGTGTTTGATTACGCGCTACAAGCGCGAAACTGTGATTTAGCTTTTCTCTCCCACCTCTGGTTTTGTGATTCGCCGTGGTCCCGTGATGCTCGCCTCCCTCCAGAGCTTTTGGTCTTCCAGACTGAATTGGAGGAATTACTTCCAGCGACGTCCTGCTGTTCGGAACATTGCTGCCCAAGCAAACACATTCCAGTCACTTGATGGACCCGAAGCACATCTTTCTCTCCCCGAATACAACACGTATACACACACACACACACACACACACACACACACAGCGTTTCCCCTGAACTTAACCTCTCTTTACACTCTCTGCTTGATGCCGTAGGGCTTAACTGACCCGCCGGGTGTGTGTGGATATATTTGTTGTTTAGTGCTCCGGTGACCCAGATGTTCATAGTGTCCCCTTTAAACATTGCCACTTTCACACCGATGTTCACCCAAGTAAGATTTTATATGCATGAAAAACAACCGTACAAAAATATCCACATACAAGCCAATGTTTCCGACTTTAAAAAGCTCAAATTAAGTAAATGATAAATGGACCTTCTCATGCAACATTGCAGTATTCTCATTCTCAGATACACCACTTATGTCGATCAAAGGTAAAAAGTCGATAAATCACAAGATCTTTAAAATGAAATGTAATGTTTCTTATCAGTGCTTCACCAGGCTGTGATGACATGGAATTATATTTTTAGATTTGTATTCGGTTAATTTAAGTTTGGTTGTTTTTGGATGCAAAAAGCTGCTTAACCTAAAAGACTTAAATTGCGAGTACAAATCTTTCAAATCCTTACTGTAATCGATATTTTCTTATTAACAGTGGGTCAAATTAGTGTCGGTCGTGGTACGGGTTTCTTATTGTGAGAATTATCACCAAACTCGGCAGTTCCACTCAGCTCTACATCCTATTTTAGCGTCTTTCAGCTCATTGTTTCGTTTGTGCATTGGACTGCAACTTTAAAGTTGCGATTTAATCCAATTGCATCAACGTCATTCTACGGCGTTGCCGAGCGCCTCCTCCTACCTGGATGTCTTTCAAATGTCTTGATCCCAAATGTGGAACATTTTCTGTTGAGAGGATTTCCGTTCAAATTTGTTCAAACCCATACCAAGATAACCCCTATGACATAACTTTTAAGGCTTGTCAAAGCTCCACAAAAGCCACAAAAGATATTATACAATTGTTTTTTACAGGCCGAGTAGCACTCCATCTGACCATGTAGGGGGAGTGGCCCTTTAATATAATTCTTCGTCAGCATAAATGGGCCGATACATGATTTTCCTTTGTCGTAATTTAGTTTTTACGTTCCTGGCCATCTGATAACATAGTAATCAGGGATACAAAAGAGAGAAGGTGTAGTAAACTACGTCAATTATGACTTAATAAAAGTGTGTTTACTCATATGTGACAGCTGCTACTTCTTTTCCCTTTACATGGAGACCGCCCAGCAGTCTCTCGCTCTCCACGGCCAGTTTTCAGTCCAGGTGGGTGGCAGGTTGGGGGGCGGGGATTGAGTTAAAGTTGCATCCTCTTGCGTATCGTCGTGCTCGCGTAACGCCCGGGCGGAGGCTCCTCCTGCGTTATGGCGTTGAGGTGATGCCCCGCCCTCCGCTCCGCTGCCTCCAGCCTCCGCTGCAGGTCCCGGGCCTCCTGCTCGGCCTTGCGCGTGGCCTTGCGGGCGTTCCCCAGGGAGCGCTTCACCTTACGAACGCGCTCCTTCAGCTGCCGGTTCCTCCTCTCCGCCGCGGCCAGTCGCTCCTGCATCTTGCGGCCGCGCTCCTCCTCCTCGAACAGCGCGGCCTGCACCGAGGAGCACAGAAGCTGGAGAGAGGAGGAAGAGAGAGGGGGGGGTTAGTTAACACACACAGGATATGGGAGTTTGCTTAACAGAGGCAAACCAAACTGTTGTAAAGCACCAGTTGCCATCCTTTCAGCTGGTTGTGTGGTGATGGGTTTTTTCCCAGCAGCCTCTCTGGGAAAATTTTATTTTTAAAAAGTCTCCCTTTGATGTCCACAGTGCTTAGCAGGAAAGGGGGTGGAGGTCCTGACCCTCGTCATTTACATTCATCCACACAGACTCCTCAGTGCAGAAAAACCCAAGGGGAGGTCGTTTATGTGTGTCTGTGTAACATAAATGTATCACCCCCTTTGCACCTCCCTGACAATGTGAGGGGGGTCACGTACTTTGATGTATCAGGGGGACCAAATATTCCATTTCATTGGCAGACCAGAGCTGACCTTTAACCAGCAGGGTTAACAGGGGGGTGGGGGGTCACAGTGTGCACCTAGCCAGAGGATCGTGCAAACATGGGAAAATCTGAAGGAATGTGTGATAATGCCAATTGTTCCTTGTTCTCCATTAGCACTTTGCTAACAGCACCAGCGTCACAAGAGGCTGTGCGCCGACAGTGCATTCTGTATGTCAGTGTGTGAATTGCTGTGGATGTGTTCTGCTTCGCCGAATGCCCTGAGACCGCATCAAGTGTAGCACTGATACAACATAGCTACAGTGCCTTCTCTGCATCAGATGGCAGCGAAGAACACAAGCACTCACAAACTGTCAGAGGAACTTGCTGCGGCCTGTTAACATCAGCCTCAGATGGCTACAGATGATAGTTACTTTCACATATTCTAAGGAGTGTCTTGGCACCAGTTTTGAGATATATGATTTTTTTTCAGTAAAGTTTAGGGAGTACGCTTATTACGTATATGTCCAATTTATTGCATTTATTTTGACATGCAACAAATGTGTCCAGCTGCAATTTATTTCTCTTTCTTCCCCCCATTACGTAACAATTGTACTTTTTTTTTTTTTTTTACAGTTTGAACCCTTTCTCATGCTCATAGGAAGCCTCTCAGTGAGATTCCCCCAACACACACACACACACACACACACCACCTGTCAAAACATCCGGGTGTTACCTGCCTGCTGTTTAGCGTCATCTGTACAAACAGTATTTAGAGGACACACACATGCATGTACAAAATGTTCTCAAATTCAAGTGAACGAAACGGACCACGGAAAGAGGGAGTTGCACATTGTGATGAATCGACAGGCATATATCACCAAACTTTGCCCTTTTCCTTCAGCTCTGTGAAGCGTTTTAGCATCTTTCAGCACATTGTTTTGGTTTCAGTGGCAGCTAATTTTGTTTTAGGCGGTGTCTCACCATCTCTCATCGTGGTTTCCAGCTTCAGCTATTTACTATCCGTAGAACACAGAGGAGTATCTCCACCCACGGCCTGAAAACTATGTCTGGAAAGGTGCAACATATTTTTCTAGCGAGCCAATCAGAGCAGACTGGGCATTTTCAGTAGGAGGGGCTTAAAGAGACAGGCACTAAAACAGAGTTTCAGTCAGAGGGTAAATACAGGTGTATTCAGACAAACAGTATGAGAAAAAGAATGTGTTTTTTGAACATTAAACCATGTAAACATATTCTAGTAGAAACCAAAAATACATGTATGAACCTGAAAGTGAGCATGATATGTCCCCTTTAATGTCTGCCTGTCTTCGTTAGGTTTAGGAAAAGAGCGTGGTTGGCGTTAACTTGACTGACTAACGACTCACTTGATGAGCGATTCATGTGAGTCGTGTGACTAACAGCCCGAACGACTCACGTGACAAAATGCCAATATTTACTTTGAGTTTCACTCAGGACATGAACAGCGGCCTCGTGGACCAAAGTAAACTGATGAACTGCCTCGGATCAAGCTTCAAAACAATAGTCCACAATCCAAGTGGCGACATCACTGTGCCCACTTCTAATATATAGTCCAACTAACTAACAAGGCTGGCAGTTTGACCCCCCCGGCTCCTACTGTCCGCATGTCAAAGTGTCCTTGAGCCGACAGCTCGTAAATGCCAAACTTCATGTATATACCTGGATGTGAATATTGTAATAAATTTATTTGATTCATCAACAGATAAAGAAGGACAGGGTCAGAGAAAGGCAGGGAAAGAGGAAAAATTAAATAAAAGAGCTTTCCAAGCAAAAGTGAGAGAGAGTAGAGTGATTGGGAGACGTGCCTTTTTGTGTATCTGACTTTGTGTGTCTGCAGACTTTTGATTCCTCTCTCTAACTTTATGTGGGGACTCAGCATAAGCCCCTCCCCCCTCGACATCAAATGGGACAAGCCAGGATTTCTCCTCTTCTCCTGAGGTTTTATTCTGCTCTGTGTGTGTTTGTGTGTGTGGGCGCGCATAGGGATGGGTGATTAGAAAACAGAGACAAAAAGACAGAAAGAGAGTGAGAGATGAAGAGATAAAAGGAACAAAAGGGGGACAGAAAGAGGAAGGAAAAACAAAGACAAGGCAGAGAAAGTGGGAGCTCAAACTACTGAGCGAAGCAGGCAGACTGTGTTCTCGTCCTTTTATCCCTCTAAGCGTCCACATAAAATGTTAATGAGACTGAAACTCTTGTTAAAGGTGTTTACATGACTGTTACGACTGGAGTATTCCCTCGCTGTGGTTATAATCAAATCATTAGAATGCATGTAAACATGGAAATGTACTGATTAAGAAGTATTTGGGGAATTCGCCTCTATCTTGCTGTGGCCTATCAAGGGAAGGATAAAGGGCCCAAAAGAACATTTGAAAAGAGAAGGGATATCTTTCAGAAAAAAATAAAGAAATCTGTATCAAACAGATGAACGGTGGGCTGACAACAGTGTCACGGTGAGAGCTGCTCTGAGTGCTGCTGATAAGAGCCTCCTCTTTAAAAAAAAGCTAATTGAGGGTTCCGGCAGAAAAGTGGATACTTCTGGAGGGGCGTCTGGTTCCCACGAGGCTGAAACCAGAAGCAAACAAGCTCCCAACTTAAATTTTAAGTGTGGTTTTGTGTCTAAACTCAAGCCAGGGAAAACACTTTGAAGATCCTTTGGAGATGGATGGATAGATAATGAATTTAGAAATTGGATCTTGTTGCTTTTAATTTAGTTTTAATTACACTTCAGCAAAACAGAAGGAAAGAGAGAGAGAGAGAGAGGAAGAGCTTTTTCATTTGCTTCAAGTCTGATACAAAAGACAGGGAGACGTGAAGAGGGGGAAAAAAAGTTCCTTTCATCTCATCATCTTCCATAAATTCCTGGAGCAAAACACCTGTTTTGTTCCGCCTTGCGTAAAAGTCGCGGCCTTTGCCTACATGCGAGTGCTCGTCCTCATAATGAGCTGTGTCTTTAACCCCTGCCTCACTGACCTTTGCCCACACAGCTCAGAGCCTGCAGGTCAAACCCGAGTAGAAAGGAAGAGGAAGACACCGCACCACTGCAAGTCTCCTGATTTAGTTCTGGAGTTTGGACTGTTATTAATACCTAAATGCCATAAATCTATTTTGGAAGCAGTTAACCACGTCTCTCTACATCAGCTGCAGGCAGTGTTCATGTCAGTCAGGAACAAGCTGCAACATCCTGACTGTTACTGCAAAGATACTGATACGTGTAAGTTTAAACATTTTCTGTCACAAGTTACACAAATAGGTACAAATGTACTGATTACTGATGTACTATAATGATGTGTGTTGCTAGATCAGTATTACTTTTGATTTTCTGGATATAAATCTGAGTTGATTTTAAGTATTTTGGAGCAAGGCCAAGTCAATGAGAGTATGTCCAAGTCAAGGCTCAAGGCAATGGCGGAATGTCCAAGTCAATGCCGACGTGTCAAATTCAAGAGGCAAGTCTATGGCGACATGTCAAATTCAAGAGGCAAGTCTATGGCAACATGTCAAATTCAAGACGCAAGTCTATGGCAACATGTCAAATTCAAGAGGCAAGTCTATGGCGACATGTCAAATTCAAGAGGCAAGTCTATAGCAACATGTCAAATTCAAGACCCAAGTCTATAGCGACATGTCAAATTCAAGTGTCAAGTTCATGGTGACGTGTCAAAGTCACGACCCAAGTCAGTGGACACAAATCTAAAAAAACACTCAATGCAAGTCATGTCCCAAGTTACTCGGGACAAGCCAAATTCAAGTCTGAAGTCTTGAGAAAAGTGTAGTCAAACCTGATTTGGTGCAAATCCAAGAGGCCCAGTTTCATGTCAGTGTAGACATATGAAGGCAAATCAGAGTTAAGTCTCAAGCCATTTGGAGGAAAGTGAAAAACTTTCAAGTCATGGTGGGCTAAAGTCTGAACCCCTCAAATTGGCAGTATTCAGTAAGGAATTGCAAGTCAATTGCTAGTCTTTCAGGTCTAAACGCTGACCGTTTAACTGAGACACAATTTTCTTGTGTTTTGACATAGCTGACGCAAAGTCCCTTCAAAGTACAGGCCTGTTTGCCCCCACACAAAACCTGTAAAATCTTATTTATGTTATTTCAGGATTTTACCAGTTCAAAACTTGAGACTTGAAAGGAAATGTCAGTTTTCAACTGGTAAATTCAAGCCTTTAAGGAGTCAGCTCTAAATAAAGTCAACACTGAAGTCCAAGTCATTTTTGAAGCCTTAATATCCTTTCAAAACCAGGGCTGAGACTTATGTAGCTCCATCTCCATCTCTCCAGTTCTGTCTTGTCCGAAGTGGGACCTGCTCAGCTCACTCAGAGGAGGTTTGAGAATAAATGCTGCAGACTTTTCTTACCCTGTTGACAGGGTCCAGCTTATTTCTGGTCTCGGGTCAGCAAACATTGCATCATACTGACATAAATCGAAGCTGAAGACTGACACACTTTAAAGCTGCTGCCTGTCAGAGATGCGGTTCTCTGCTATTTGGCCTTTGACCTCTGGATGGCCAGTATCCAGCCTGCCTGAGGAGCCAGACGCATAATTGACTCTTCTGTGCATGAGAGTGACTATCCTTGTTTTTTTATCCTTCTGAAGATCAGAACAGTAAAGCGATATTTGTGTGTAAATGTGCATGTGTGGTGTGTGTGTAGCTCTTAACTATTAAGCTGTTTCTACTGATCCTCACCACATTCCTGTCAGCAGCGTCACAACTCAACTCAGGATTAAGTGTCCACACACACACACACACACACACACACACACACACACACACACACAC